TCATATCCATTATTTTTCTATCATCATCATCTAATTCATGTTTATCACCACAAGAATTAACCCTGAACAAATTCCCCAAGTCCAAACATCCTGCACATGGTAGCAGAGGCCAGACTCTCAAGTGCTTTGTATCAGACCATGGCCAGTACTGGGGCACCCTTCAGTGAGGGGAGAGGTGGGATGGCAGCACCTACTGGCATGTAGTAGTAACCAGAGCTTCCCTGGACCCCTATCATTCTCCAGCTGTTTCAACTCATTGCGGCCATTGGCAAGCAACATAACTTGCAGCAGCCTAAAGGCTGCTCTGGCTTATGCTTGCACACAGTAGCCCCAGGATACGGGGAGTGTAAAGGTGAACTTTACAAGGCCATGTTTGCACCCTTGCGGTGCACTCCTTGGCCATAGCAGAGCAACTGGCCCATTATCTCAGAATGTAAAAGAAAACAATCATACTTAACCAAACAGCTGTGTTTAAAGGGCCCTAAGTCAATGGGAGACCTTCTCGGGGTTGGTCCCATCAGATGCTGCAGCAGCAAGAAAAATGGAAGCTGAGGAAACTTTCCTGTGTTACTTTAATCAACGCCAGCTTTAAAAAGTGATTTCTCCTCCTCCAACATAATGGACTTATCTCATGGCGGGATCATTACTGCATGTTTCCCTTTACTGGGATGATTAATGAGCCATTTGATATCACACCTCCCCCACTGCCACAACATGCCAGCCAGATGTAAAGAAACCCCCCCAACTTCCAACACAGTGCAGTAAAAGGAAAGCATTTGCAGAACAGGTTAAGGGTTCTTGATCCAGGGCCCTGGAAATGGCCCATCTGAAAAGATGATGGGATATGCATTATTAGGGAGGTATTGAATACAAACATATACACTTCACTTTGTCTTTTGGAAAGGAGTGTGCACTTGCTCCTGGATCACTGACCTAGAGGAGAGTTTTGCTATTTGCCTCTGTGGGAATAAGATCAGGATCTTCAAAAATGGGACATATTGGTCAGAAATCCCCGAGATGGTTTACAACAGGAAGAAGCACAAGTTGATTTGACAGTAGGTCAAAAATAATCAACTGATTAATAACCTTATTCCCACTCCCCAAGCATAGGGATGGCAATTCAGCCCAGCCTTTACATGGTCACACAAGCCCCTCCTCCTCAGGAGACTAAGAGGGGATATGATAGAGGTATATAAAATCCATGAGTGGTGTGGAGAAAGTGAATAAGGAAAAGTTATTTACTTGTTCCCATAATATAAGAACTAGGGGCCACCAAATGAAATTAGAAGGCAGCAGGTTTAAAACAAATAAAAGGAAGTTCTTCACACAGCGCACAGTCAACCTGTGGAACTCCTTGCCTGAGAAGGTTGTGAAGGCTAGGACTATAACAGGGTTTAAAAGAGAACTAGATAACCTCCATGAATTTAAGTCCATTAATGGCTTTTAGCCAGGTTGGGTAAGGAATGGTGTCCCTAGCCTCTGTTTGTTAAAGGGTGGAGATGGATGGCAGGGGAGAGATCGCTTGATCATTAGTTGTTAGGTTCACTCCCTCTGGAGCACCTGGCATTGGGCACTGTCAGTAGACAGGATATTGGGCTGGATGGACCTTTGGTCTGACCCAGTACGGCCATTCTTATGTTCCCATTGAAAAGACTAGGGACAAGATCCAAAAGGGGAGTCCTCACCCTTGGCCTGCGCCTGCAGATATTTTGCAGGAGGAAATGCTCAAACTCCTGCTTCCAGAATGACGGATATGATTCCATATCCCCTCTCCAGCATCCAGGCAGTTGTTTGCATAAATCCCAAGAAAAAGGGATTTGCACTGTTATTCATCTGGAATCTTCTCTGGACACCTCCCCTCATTAAGATCATTCTAAGACAAATCATTAGCAGGTGCCTGTACATTTAATTAGTTCCTCTCATATCAGAATATGAACCTCAGAGCAAGGTTTGTTTTGTTTTTACTGAAAAGCACAGTTGGTAGCAAACTTATAGCACTAAGCCTATGAGAAGCATCACAAGGAGGAAAAGGCTTCTCTGACGAAAAGCTCAGCACTGCCAACCTATCCCGAACCAGCCAGCCCAAACACGAATAATTTCCTGAAGTCTTATGGGCAACCCTAGGGAGCTCAAACAATTTCACTTACTATAGTCAAGCCTTCATCAAGGTCTTTTAGCCACCAAGCAGAGTCTAGGAGAGAAGGAGAGACAGAGGAACAGAGAGAGAGAGACAGACAGAGACTCATGCACAATTTATTAGAAATACATGCTCTCATGCTCGGTTAGGGCCCAATCCAACACCCACTGAAGTCCGTGGAAGCCTCCATAAATACTGATCAAGTTGCTTATGAATTAATGATTTTTGTACCAATCTGAAGAAATAGCTCAGCATTCTTTCCTAAAGCACATCCCTAACCAACCTGAGAAAATACAGCCAGCATGACCGAAAACAGTGGCTACCTCTTGTCCATATTACAGTCAAGGTCACTCAACTAACTTTACTGATGGGGAGTAATTAAAAATAACCAGTCTCTTCTTTGCTGGAAGTATTCCCTGACTGGTTTGCCCAAGTAGGCAAGACAGGGCCAACAATGGTTCACAAGAGTTGCTCATTTGAAACATAGCTGAATAAAGTAAAATCTTTTTGTTGAAAAAGACACATGGGAAAGTCAAAAGGGAGCATTTTGCCTACAGGGTCGATTTCTAAATTGAGACAGAAGGAAAAAAAAAAAGTACAATAGAGATTTTTCCAAATCTCTTCAAGAGAGGAATCTATAGGCTGGAAATAAGCTTGCAAGACACCCTCATGTAGGAAAGCATTAAAAGAAGAGATTAGAAAGTGCAGACCTTTACAGCTAACCTCAGTCGTTGGAAAGACTGTAAAGTCATTGATTACAGACAAAAATAGGAAAATACCTGGACATGTACAAGCACCACAATGATAGTGAATATGGATTCAAAGGGAAGGTCAGAATTAACTAATTCCTTTCAATCACAGTTTGAATTTCCAAGGATGAAGCCACAGATGATCTACCTGAACCTTCAAAACAGGTTTAATCAGTGGAAGGATGTTGTAGTAGTTGGATCAGGTGAATGACACGTAAGACTGCTGGGTTCTTTTCCCAGCTTCCCCCCAACTCACCATGTAACCGAATTCTACACTGATTTACACCTCCACTGACGTAATGGAGAGTAAGTCCATGGATAATTTGGCCCATTAGACTTCACCTTACCAATCTGTAAAAAAGACCAACAATAAATAATAATACACCTGTCTGGGGTGTAGTGAGATTCACTGATTATATGGGATACGCTTTGAGCTGCTTGGATGAAAGGCTACGTTAGGCCAAAGTATTTCCTTCTAAAATGTTGTATACAGAGTGTGCTAGGGTAAAACGTTACAGGAGCAAAATCACAAGAGAAGGGCTGGTGGAATGAAATGTCCGGTCCCACCTCCTCCTCCTCCTGCTATTGCCCACAGTGAGATCCGTGGTCCTCAGTGATGCTGTTGTATATTTCCGCACAGCAGCACATGGCAGGGAAGGGAGAAGCTGCCTCGAGGTGGCCTCACTTGTGCAGAGACAGGCCGCACTCTCACTCTGACTGGAAAAAGCGGGTAACACAATGAGGACTCGGTTCAACCAAACACAAAATGGCAACAATGATTTTGGCTTCAAATGGTCAGGAGCTGGGAAACAGAGTGGCAAGGAAGAACCAGAGGAGGACACGTGAGCTGGGATAACGACAGACAAACTCTAACCATCACCGCGGTGTCTGGCAACAAAAAAGAGGAAATCAGCCTGTGGAGCTGTATAAACAGAACATAAATCAGGGCGACTGTTCTAGCAACCAAGCAAACTACTTCCCGGGGCTTTTACACGGTTGTGGGCGCAGTGCTGTACCTGCTACAGGAAGGCTACTGCAGAATTGAGGAAGGTACAGTAGAGGGGAGTTAGAAGGATGACAGGGGTGAGGTAGTCACGCTTAAGAGAGTATTAAGAAGTGCTCAGTTCTCAGGTTTATGTGGAGGAGCTGGATCCCAAAAGCTGCCTAGGGAGAGTGGAGGGGACAGAAAGGAAAAGAAATAATAGCCCAGCACTTGAACCTTTGAAGGCAACGCTGCATGGACAGAGGCTTGTATTTAATCCCCAAAGGCCAGATTCTCTTTACTGAAGTTCTCAACCTGAGCCCCGTAGCAAACGGAGTAAAAGGGTTTTGTCCAAAAACTCTATTCAAGTTTGGGGCATGGAAGGTCCAGCACCAGGAGCATGCAGAGACAGGCTGCAGCTGCTACTGCAGCACAGCCTATGGACTGGAGTTAGAAAGTCCCAGTTCCTGACACACAAATAGCTTTGCTCCCAGTTCCTCCACCCACTATAAACTATGGATATGGTGCGAAGGGAGCGCAGTCACTTACACTTTACCCTCTTCATGCAAGGAACGAGTTGCTTTAAGATCTAAAATGTCCATTTAAGCAGGTACAGGATTTGAGCCTGAGTTCTCACTCAGGCAAAACTCTGAAGGACTTTTGACGGAATAAGGAATGGAAGACTGGGCTCAAAGAGTTCGTCAATGCGATGAGAACCTGACAAAGGCAGCAATACGTGGTACAACCACTGTGGTATTATAACAAATCCATGGTAACCTACAGCTTCACAGTTAGCCCCCGTCCCCATTCTCCTCCCCAAGGGGTACTTGAAATTTTATGGCTAGAATGGGATTAGGTAGAAACTTCCCCTATGGAACATCTCTCATCCCCTCCTCTGAAGCACTTCAAACTTGCCATTTTCCAAGACAGACAGGACATGGGACTAGATGGACCCCTGGTCTGATTCAATAAGGAGATTTCTCTGTTCTTAAGTTTGATTTTACAAATATTTTATCTAAGATTTGGACTTTTCCTCTCTATACTATATTCTATAGTCCCGTCCCCTCCCCCCAACTTTGAGAGACACTTAAAAATAATTCTACAAAAAAGAACCTTGACATTCCAAACTATCCACTTGTCATGATGTGCATTCATTGAGAGGGGGGGAAATTACATTTGTGCCTTTTTTTTAAAAAATACACTTCACACATTGTAAGATTATTCTTCACATTTCTCTTAAATTTCCACTTACAGTGGGAGTGCTCTAGACAACCAGGGAAAAAAGATGCAATTCTGATGTTCTAAGATATGCTTTTGTGAACCACAGCAACCAGAATTTAAACAGAGCCCACAGTTCAATGTGCTGCACTCTCAGAAAAGGATTCTCTAACAGAGCTCTCAACCACAAGTACAAACTCTTTGGCATTCTCTGAACTCTGTTGTAGCTTATAATAGAACACTGGTTTTTGAGTCAATTCAAAACTACAAGCAAAAGTTACAATAAAATTAAAAGGCATGGCCTTGACTCAAATATTTGCAATACTATTCAAAGGTAACACTTGAAATCAACTTTTCTTTCTCTCTTATACCTTATGTTTCCAGGAATAATGGGATATGGTGTTTTTATTGTTCTCCTGCAGAACATTTTTATTGACTTACTACACTCCTGTGAAAAAGAAAATTGCTAACTTGGGTATTTCCATCCTTGCTGTGATTCAGCCAGGTTTAAGGTTATAATAATAAAAAAAAACCAACAACAGCTGCAATGATAGGAACACATGCGATCATTAAAGAAGGGGAAGGAGTAACCAGGCTGTGACTGCTACAGTGTCATTCCAGCCTTTCTAATTTGCCATGAAAGTTTCAGTTATCTCAGAAGATGATAGAGGGGAAGCCTATGGCTGGTGGGTCCCCAGGAAACCAATTACACACAAACACGATGAAAACCGGGAGAAGATTGCCCCAGAGCAGTGTTAAGGAGGGAGCTGGGCTCCGACTGGTTGGCTATGGCCCCAGACCAGTTGAGCAATTTACAGGACTATTAGGGACTTGCTCTCGGATTGGCAGGGTGCTGGCCAATGAAACTATTCACAGGGATTGGAAAGCTTGTCAGTCTGAGCCAATTCTGTGAGCTTTCCTCTATGCAATTGGTTTTAGTCCTAAGAAGAGTCTCAGTACAGATCCTATTTAGTAATATACAGTATTTAAAAATATGTTAATTTCCTCCCATACGAGTTAATTCCTGGAGTTGCCTCAGCATAACTGTTGCTGTAAGCAACATGTCAGTACATTCTCGGTAGGTATAGGGAAGTTCCATATTTATTTTACAATACATCTGTAAGGCATATAGCTAACATAACTGACATATATGCAACAGCATTTGAACAACCAAAGCTGCTTCATCAAGATTTCCACTTGGTCTAGTCCTGAATAGTATAAAAAAAAGTGAACACATACAGAAATCAGGGAGTTGAAGAAGGGCAACTTTTTCCAAAGCTGTGTGGCTAAGTTGCATGCACAAAACATGCAGCTACACATGCGGAAAGTGAAACTACACACAGATTTCATTCGGTCACAAATTAATTGCTTCTGCAGACTCTAGAAGGTTTTTAAATTTACTGACAATACTAGGGGCCCATTCTGCCCTCAGTTATACTCGGGACAACACCAGTTTTGCCACATAGAACAGTTTATTTTAACCTTTTAAACCCTGTTACAGTCCATATTCGGAGCTGTTGGGAGTTATGTCAGTAGGGATCCACTCCTGTTTCCACTGCAGCCAATGGTAGCAGGTCCCGTGACAGCACTCGCACACGTATAATAGAAACATACACAAGCTCATGCAGATTTTAAAGAGATCTCATTATTACTCATGCTCATTTTGAATTGTATAATTCTCTTGCCTGTAAAAGATACTCTATGGACTGGAGCCATGTCAGAAAGCCCAAATGTTATGTTTTTAGCATTAGACATTTAAGAGCTATTTCCCCCTTAAAACCCAAGACCAATCCTTTATTCTCCTGCATATGAAATCAACATTCCCCTTTGAAAAACAGTTGACTGCTTCTTTACTAACAAAAAGAGTATACTTTGGGTATAACAAGAACTGTTCTCTTCCATACCATGTAGAAATCCAGAACATGACCCAGTCCTGTGTTCTGTCTGGGGGTCAATAACCACATGAACTTCAATGGGAGTTCTTCCAATAGAGCTACCAGAGTTTGGTTTAATCAGCCCTCATTTCTTGTTCTAACTCCACTAAGTAGAAGTACCATAGGAATTAAGTGTAAAATTTTCAATAGTGCCTTAGTAATTTAGGAGCTTAAGTCTCACCAAAAGTCAATGAGACTTAGGCTCCTAGTCACCTTTGAAAATACAATGTAGGTATTTTGGGATTCTAAGTCACTTAGATGCTTGCTCTTTGGGATGGGAATTCCCATAAAAAGAATACCAAGATCATTTATTTCATTATTATTTTTGTGTAACACAGTGAGAGGGGATGGCTCAGCATTCACAGTATGGAATTATAAATCACTCTTGGGGCTTGAAGAGTTCAAGCTGAACTGATGTAGTTAAATATAGTCCAGTAATCTATTGCTCCCATCTACCCAAGATAATTATAGTATTCTAGTCTACTATATTATTGCTCCGATTTAACCATAGAATCAGCCATTTCTCTTATACGATTCTTTTCTTCAAAACACCAAGTGCTGAGATTGCAAGCAAATATTTTTATTACTCTATAATATGATTGGTCAGAGCGTCTGGAAGAGGAAGAGGGAAGGTTTGGAACAGAATTCAGGATTACAGGCAAGAGAAGCACTCAAATACCTCATCTCTTTCCCCTCGCCGGATGCTTGCTCATATCAGCTCTCTTACCTTGAGCCCGTTATAACAGAAAGACATGACAAACCTGGCTCTGAAATTTCTGCTTTGACAGAGTGCAGTAAATCTATGATCAGATATTATGGACTCGGGTGGTCCAGAATCAGGAAGCTTATCTGTGAAATATGGGACACAGAACAATCAAACAAAAATACACCTGTGTATACTGGATGCCACCTTTTGATCTAAAGTATTTTCATTAGTAGAATGGAAGAACGAACTGTATCCTAAGATGAAATATTCCTAGCAATTTTAAAAGTCTATTATAGCATTAGGCTATGAACAATGGTAAATTGCCTTCAGTACATTCCACTAACCCCCGTTTACAATAATACAAGCTTCCTTTGGCTGAGATATGTTAATTCAGCTGGGCACTAGATCTCTGACTCACATTGCTAATGAAGGCAGAGAGGCTAAGGCTGTGCAAATATAGTATGGATGTATTACATGCTGGATCTGCCAAATAAACAGCTCTACTTGGTGCAGAGAGTCATGAGATTTAATGTAGTTTTGTATTGTTCTACCATCATCAAATTTTGGCAAAAACCAAAACAAACAAAAACAACCCCTACTAACTATTTAGCTATTGTAAAAGATAGGGGCCCACAACCATGTGATGTTCGGGAACCTCTCCATAGAAGCAACTGTAGCAAGTTCATAGCAGAGATCCTCAATACACAGAAAACAGGACAGTTTTCCCAAGACTGTTACTGGAGTTCTGCTATTGGCTACAACAGTTTGTGTGACCAGATGAGCTAAAATTGAGGTGTCCCAGCAGAATGTGACTGAAGATGTTGCCAATTAAAGATAAAATACATACGTTAGAATTTGTAGGGAAAAGCGTAGCCCTGTAAATTAAACAAAAGTAACTGACTATAGGCTACAACGCCTCCAATTTTATTTTGAAAGGCTCAGTATTCTTTTACTCCTGTCCCTTTCTGAACCCTTCAATTTAAATGAGCTTGCTGTTTCCTAATGAGCCATGAAGCCTGCACCTTTTGGGGCTCAGATGTGGCCCAGGATCTTTTGGGCATCTCAACAGCATGATGAACCCATCCCACCCCAAATCAATTGATACTATGTTTCAACGTGCTATGGGATTTTTCCCTCCTCACAATAAACACAGTGGTTACAAACTGTCATTAATTATCTGTTAAGCTCCAAGTCTGGGATATTCAAAGGAACCTCAGAGAATAATTCACTCAGCACTCACTGAAATTCAATAACACTGGGTTCCTAACTCCTCTGACTTTCGGGTTTCTTTTAACATTAAAACACAGAGGAGTGCAAAGTTGCTGTGAAGCATAATACGTTCTCTAATCCCTGTTGAAGGTTAAACCCTGCAGCATCACACAAAATGTGACTGACAGGCACTTACTAGCAACGAGTACAGTATGCAACAATTCATTAATCTTGCTAGCGTCACTACATCCCTCAACCACATCTCAGTGTCCTGCGAGCCTGCTCGCTTGCTTTGGCTGCAGCTAACGGTTGTAGATTACTTTTTCAAGCAGCCAAAGTAGAGACCTAAGAACCAGTCCTGTAGATGAGCATCACATTCAAACAGAGAAGCCTCAGTAGCCTGCTTATTAAACTAGCCTATTAAACTGTTGGAACCAGCAAAGTGCTCTAGTGAGGATGAGGCAGGAAAGAAAAAACAAAGGGCTTCTTTTGTATTTGCAGTACCATAATCAGCTTTCATAGAATATCAGGGTTGGAAGGGACCTCAGGAGGTCATCTAGTCCAACCGCCTGCTCAAAGCAGGACCAACCCCCAACTAAATCATCCCAGCCAGGGCTTTCTCAAGCTGGGCCTTAAAAACCTCTAAGGAAGGAGATTCCACCACCTCCCTAGGTAACCCATTCCAATGCTTCACCACCCTCCTAGTGAAAAAAAGGTTTTCCTAATATCCAACCTAAACCTCCCCCACTGCAACTTGAGACCATTACTCCTTGTTCTGTCATCTGGCACCACTGAGAACAGTCTAGATCAGTGGTTCCCAAACTGGGCTTCGTGAACCCCTGGGGGTTCGTGAAATGTTACCGAGGAATCTCGGGGAAAAATTCCCTAATGGCGGACAGAGCTGTCCTTAGGGACCCCAGGCAGCACGGGACCAGCAGCCTCTGAGCCCCGGGACTTCCAAGAGCTAAGTAGATCAAAGCAAGCATATCTATCACACTGAGGAGATTTAAACTTCAAGACTCCTTATAAGAAATGGAAAGGGAGGTGGATATTTTTTGCTGTTTTTAAAATTAAATAGGCAGCTAGTATTGTTTTTAAAATTATTATGAAGAACAAGTTTAAGCTTTGCTGTAACGTGTGTTGTTTGCTTGAACTGCTCAAGACCTGAATGCTTGTATAAGAGGAACTCTGAGTTGGCTTCTTAGATACCTTCATGCTGTTTCACATCTGATACTTCTTGATGAAACATAGGAGCCTTGTCTTATAACAGGCTTATTCAAAGTGATACAAGCTACGAAAGTGAGATCTTGGAAGAGAGTTGCCATTTTCATAATGTAATAAAAATACTGAAATGATCAATAATTAATAATAAACAGTGTGTAATAAGCATGTCATAAAAACAAATTTTATATTTCCAAGATCACTGCTTTTATAATTTATACTCAGGTAAAGGAGAAAATCCCTGGAAATATTCTTTTTTTGGAGGAGGTTCGCGAGACTTGACATTTTGGTGAAAGGGGTTCACAGGTTGTTAAAGTTTGGGAACCACTGGTCTAGATCCATCCTCTTTGGAACCCTCTTTCAGGTAGTTGAAAGCAGCTATCAAATCCCCCCTCATTCTTCTCTTCCGCAGACTAAACAATCCCAGTTCCCTCAGCCTCTCCTCATAAGTCAGTCGAATAGAGGGGAATGATCACATCCCTCGATCTGCTGGCTTTCTTTGGTCCCTTCCTCCCTTATTGTTCAGGGAGAAAAGATGATGTAGTAGTAAAGGCACTAGGCTTCACCTTGGTCACTCGACTTAGACCCAGATTTTTAAAGGTATTTAGGTGCCTAACTCCCATTGATTTCAGTAGCAGTTAGGTGCTTAAATACCTTTAAAAACCCTGCTTTAATCTTTCTGTGCCTCAGTTCCACATCTGTAAAATGGAGCTAGTAGCACTTTACTACCTCACCGGGGCATTGCAAGGGTAAATGTATTAATGATTGTGAGGAGCTCAAATACAATGTAATGGGGGTCATATAAGTACCTCATATAGATAGTAGAATAGTGTCAAATGCCTTAGGCTATAACCTACTGCAAAGAACTACACAAGCACCATCCACCTAGACAATAACCCCTCTACCTCTTGATTGGAGTGTCAAGTCCCCTCCAGGATGAAGGAATGCTTAATGTGGCTCTGCCTCTCTTTTCTTAGACTCATCCCTCTCTCTTCACCTCCCTCCCCCCTTTTGAGCAGTTGACTGAACATGGATGTCTTTCTACAAGAGAAGCCATAGTTCCAACCACAAGTTATTGGATTAGATGCAGGAACCACAGTGTGTCATGCAAAAGGCAGACTGGATGGCCACAGTGGGCCGTTCTGGCCTTAAAAGTCCATGAATCTATAAACATTTGCATTTCTTTAGACCTGATGTAAAACTCCAAGACCAGGAGAAGGTATTTGCAATAGATAGTGTCACTGGATGCATAACTCAACTGAATGAATGAACATTAAATTCCTCTCCTGGGCTTTCATGATGTCCCCAAGCCCACACTCTACACCAGGGGTCAGCAACCTTTCAGAAGTGGTGTGCCGAGTCTTCATTTATTCACTCTAATTTAAGGTTTCGCGTGCCAGTAATACATTTTAACGTTTTTAGGAGGTTTCTTTTTATAAGTCTATAATATATAACTAAACTATTGTATGTAAAGTAAATAAGGTTTTTAAAATGTTTAAGGAGCTTCATTTAAAATTAAATTAAAATGCAGAGCCGCCAGGACCCGGGCAGCGTGAGTGCCACCGAAAATCAGCTTGCGTGCTGCCTTTGGCATGCGTGCCATAGGTTGCCTACCCCTGGTTAATAGGAATACTCATTTGTGTATGACAGGGCTCTGTAGCATAGACATCAAGCAAGACTAAACAATGACATTTTCAGATGGTGTGTTACAACCTCACAGCCACCAACAATAATCTTTAGCCACAAGAATGGGGTGGGGCAGGAAGGAACACGCTCTGACTGCTGATTATCAATATATTCCATTGATTGTTCAGTGCCGGTAGGGCCAATCAAACTGGTTTAAATGAAAAAGCAATTCAATCATTTTCCCAAACTCTGGAGTTTTGCATAAGTATAAACAAAAAATTTCACTTTAGCTCCCCTCCTCTCCATTTCCTTACCCAGTTCAGGACTGGAAGTTCAGAAACTGGATTTTGCAGAGAAATTTCCAGCTCAATTTTGCAGACTCCAGAAGGCCAGACAGTTCAGAGAAGCAACTTGGGGAGATTCACTCATCATTTTAAGGTACAGTGCAGCTGTGTCCACATCCACTAACCCAAACCCCCAGTTCTCTCACATGCACTGGAACAGCATTGCTTCTGGACTGGTCTGTCTACAGCCCAAATTTTAAATCTACACCCACATTTTTACACTAGCAACTGAATTGTGGGTGTAAGTCTGGAGACCTGCACCCTAATTACCTGATTGTAAGTGCAAATATGCACCAGGAAGTTACATCTGCTTTGCATCTGGAAATTCATTAGGCAAGTGCAAATAGTACCTGCCAAAAAAATGAAAGATGGGCCTTTGCCCTTTTAAAAAGCTATTCCTACAAGTGATCTTCAAACAACTTACCCACAATGATGACAAAAGCAAAACTAGCCAGCGTCAGTGATGATCCACTGCTGACCATGTTGATAAGCAGCTGGAATAAAGGATATAGCAGCAATAAGGCCCAGAAGAGCCAGTTCAAAAGAGTCCATGGCCGCCGAGGTGGCACTATGGGAGTAGCTGGATAGGTTCCTGTTCTGTAGTATTCTTCTTGAAAGGCATCCTGTTAGAACAAAGAAACGTAACATTTGAATCCCTATTGGATAATAGAAGCAGCCTTCTATAATTCTGATATTTCTCTTGCTGAACAGTAGTTATTCTGAAAGGAAGATGAAACATCAAGTGAAGGCCGGAAATCGTGTGCTTTTTAGTGAAAGTTCATTCTCCTGAGTACATACCGATTAGTGTTCCCTTCCTTTGCTCGTTTAGATGAATCACATGCCCGCAAGTCTACAGTTTTAATGAGGATCCAGTCTGACCGACACTCAAAGAGGAATGTAATGTGCACAATTTTGTGTACATTCTTACACCAATAGGTATAGGACTGCTGTACCTACAGGCAGCAGTGACAGCCCTCAGACAAATACCCTTGGTACATCACAGAAATGTCTAGGAATGCTTTCATCACCAAACCCTCTGCTTTCTAATGTTTTCTGCAACATGTATCTAAACAGTTTCCACATTTCAGCTGGGAGTTCGGGGTAGTACCAGCTGGCCTCTTACTCCAAAGAATGTTATTCCTCAACACCCACCTTTTTGACTTGTCCTGTGGTGGGTAACCTGCGGCCCATCAGGGTAATCCACTGGTGGGCTGCAAGACCGTTTGTTTACATGGACCGCCGGCAGGCACGGCTGCCTGCAGCTCCCAGTGGTCGTGGTTTGCCATTCCTGGCCAATAGGAACAGCGGGAAGCAGCGCGGACCGAAGGGACGTGCTGGCCACCATTTCCCGCAGCTCCCATTGGCCGGAAACGGCAAACCACAGCCACTGGGAGCTGCGGGTGGCCATGCCTGTGGATGGTCAACGTAAAACTGTCTGGCGGCCCGCTAGCGGATTACCCTGACAGGCTGCGTGCGGCCCGCAGGTTGCCCACCACCGCTTTAGAGGCTTGTCCACATAAGAGGTTTGAAACCCATCTGGTTTTCAACTAGAGGACTTTTCCTGTTACCATAAGTAGGAGAGGGTTGTGCTTGTGGCACTGAAGGTCTTAATTCCAATGCCATCCCCTACATCATATAACAGAGAGAAGCATGTGGCCCTTAGCTACTTGCTCAGCTCAAGCTCACTATTTTACCTGTTCCCACTGAAGTCAATGGAAAAAGCCCTCCAACTGGCTTTGGGATGGAGAATCCAGCCCTTGCAGCAATGTTTATCGGGGGGAGGGGGAGGAATCCACTGAAGCTGATGGATTTACACCAGTGTGAAAAACATTGTAAGAGAAGTTAGAATGAGGCCTTATCTCCCTGTCCATCAAGTTACATTGTTAGCTTTGTGACAGAATTCATTAATAACTAACTCTTCAGCAGCCAGCATTGCCCCAAACAGTTTAGGAAAGGTTATTTAATTTCTGCTCTTTTACATGTACTTAAACCCTAATTTACACTAGCAATTCTTTAACCAATAATAATTGGAGCAATTACAGGCTACTGCTGTTTTATCTAACTCCAAGTGAACATACAACTTTCAAAAGATTATATAATAATTAAAATGTTATTCTCTCTTTTTAGGGAGATTAGAGAAAAGTATTACACTCTCTCTCTTGCCTGTGAACTAGAATGTACTGAAATCATTATGGTCAATTAACTGTCTTGGGCAAATTACCCAAAATATGAAATTTCCCTTTAAGTGCCTTGAGGGTCTGGCTTATGAGCAGGTTAACCTAAAGCCACTCATTAGTATATTAGGTCATGTCACATATAGTTATGTTTCTAAACACCAGAATTAGTCAGGAATTCCTAATTTTCCCTTGCTGTTAAGACATCACCACTAGGGGGATTCTGCACTACCATAGGAATGGCAGTGCTCTAGCCTTGCTCTCCGCAAGAGGTTTGAGACCGACTTAAGTCTTACATAGTAGGTGCAAGGACTCAGGTTTCTTCACCTTTACCAGGGCATCCACAACGTCATGGATAGCCTGGTTAAGCTGGGTTGCCGCCATTCTGTTATGGAGCCAAGTTTCTCGCTGTGAGGAATTTTCATGTTACTTTGCAGATAAGGTTGTTTGAATCTGAGCCGACCTGTCTGCCTAGATTTCTAGGTTTTTATGAGGTCACTCTTTAACCATGGCATCCATGAGTAGCTTAAGTTTGTTAAAAATATTACATCAAGTCCTGAAGCATTAAGGCAGCCTGATGCAAGTGAAGGGATTCAGCAAAAAACTCCATTGAGAATATTAAAAAAAAAAAAATCTATTAACATAGCAAACATTTACTGAAATTTGTTTTGGTAATTTGTGTTTCCACATTTCAGGATGATTCCTGTCAGTGGTTCTCAGTTAAAGCACGTTGATTAGAAATCATTCAACACTGTCACATTTGTGCATCTCTTTCCATTTCATTAATTGAAGGGCCCTGTTCAGCACTCTTCACTCAGTCAAAACTCCCACTGAAATCTAGTTTTACCTGTGTCCGGAGTGCTGGATAGGACTCTTCATAGATGTAAGGGCAGAAGGGACCATAATAATCTCCTAGACTGACCTCCTATATATCACAGGCCATAGGACTCACCTGAGCTGATTCCTGTGGGAACCGGAGCAGCATTTCTCAAAATGGGGTCCATGAGAGTACTCCAGGGAGCCCATGGGCCCCACTGATCAACTCCTTTGCCTCCCTCCCAGCACCTCCTATACGCTGGGAACAGCTGTTCAGCAGCATACAGGAGGCACTGGGAGGGAGGGGATCAAGGCATGGAAAAGGTGGGGTGGGAGTGGGGCCTGGGGCTGAGCAGGGAACTTGGGGGTCCATGAAAAATTTTAAATCAGAATAGGGGTTCTTGGGTTTCTAAAGTTTGAGAACCACTGAATTAGAGCATATAGTTTAGAAAAACCATCCAATCTGAATGTAAAGATTTCCAGTGACAGAGAATCTACCACAAACCTTGGTAAATTGTTCCAATGGTTAATTACCCTCACTGTTAAAAATGTGCATCTTATTTCTAGACTGATTTTACACACCCCCAACTCATTCCTTAAGATTATCTTTGTTAAACTAAAAAAATTAAACTCCTGGAGTCCATCACTCTAAGGCATGTTTTCCAATCTTTTAATCATTCTTGTGACTCTTCTCTGAGCCCTCTTCAATGAATTAAAAACAAACATTAACTGGATTAAAAACTGCTTAACTGATAGGTCTCAAAATATAATTGTACATGGGGAATTATCAAGTGGGTGTGTTTCTAGTGGCGTCCCACAGAGATTGGTTCTTGGCCTATGCTATTTAAAAGTTTTGTCAATGACCTGGAAGACAACAAAATCATTTCTGATAAAGTTTGAGGTGACAAATATTGGTGAAGGGATAATTAATGAACAGGACAAGTCACTGGTACAGAGTGATCTGGTTTGCTTAACTGGGTTCAAGCAAACAATGTGTTTTAATATGGCTAAAAGTAAAGTCATACATCTAGGAACAACTAATGTAGGCTGGAGGACTGTACTTTGAGAAGCAATGGCTCTGAAAAGAACTTGGGGGTTAGGGTGGATAATCAGCTAAACATGAGCTTTCAATGCAACACTATGACCAAAAGGGCTAGTGTGATCCTTTGATGCCTGAACAGGGGAATATCTAGTAGGAGTAGGGAAGTTGTATTACCTGTTTGGCACTGGTACAACCACTACTGAAATATTGTGTCCTATTCTGGCATCCCTTACTGGTCTCTTTCTGTCAGCTACCAGCAAAATCCACATGCGTACTTATGTCCTTTTAAATTGTGTAGATTTAATTCTACATGGATGGACTCAATTGATTTCAAGAGAGTCACTCCTGATTTATACCAGTGAGAAAGATAAGGCATGGGCTCCGGGGATCTAAAATATCAAAAATATTTATCTTGCTCCTTTTATTATCCCAAAATGTATTTTCCACTTTGACCTTCAGATGCTGGTGTCATTAATACAATATAGTATATTTAACACAAGTAACTTTACCCGATGAAAAGTCAAACTGAATGAACTGAAATTTATTTAAATAATCACAGTTTTGTGTACAATGAAATTATGAACCCGACCCCCTCGAAAGAGCTGAATACCCTCAATTTCAACTGAAATCAATGACTCAAGGGTGTTCAGTACTTCCCAGGAGACACTCAGCAGGATCAACTGCTAAATTTTGAATTGCATGAGTTTTGTTGCTCTATCTGCTTCCTTTTATTTCCAGTTGCTAAAGTGCTTTAGGTGATTGTTTTTACATCAGAACAGAAATACTAATGTTTGTCCTGAAGCCTATGACAACTGCCTCCTGAATAATGAATGGGATAGATGTATATATAGAGTCACCAAATTTGGGCTGTTTCAGACCAAGGGGGGATTTGAAGGTGGCAAGTTCCGAAGTCTGAATCCTTTTTGGATTAGTCAGAAATAAAAATTGGAGGAAAAAACAAAACAAAACACATATCCGAATCTTTTTATACATATATAAATATATAAAGATGCACGTTGCTAACACCACCATTAATCTCCACGGCAATTTGCCATCGATCTTCTTGCCAAATTGTGTTGTGGGAGCACGTTCACGAAGAACTGGGGCAAGACAAATAAATTCAACATCCACCTGTGTCTATGCCACATGCACTCTGGTGTTCAGAGGCTGAAAGGCCATTGCATTAATTCTCTGTGCCACCTAGTCTATTAGCAAAATATGCCATATCCATGAAAGAGATGAAATTTTGCTATTCCAGAAGAACCAACTCTACAAACTTGATTAACAGATCGCTCCACTATGCAAATGTGTCCCATGGACTGAATTACTGTCTCCATCTCCTAGTTATGTACATAGTTCAATTAGAAAGTTGAAGTTGGAAAATCAAATGTTTTACTAGAGCTCAATAATATGAACATATTTTCATCTGACCTACACTCAACACCCCATTTGTTCAGATAATTGGGCTGCCACAGCTGCCGTCTATTTGTTTAACCCCTCAGTTAATTTACCCAGGAAATAGGAAAGCATAATCAATCACTCTTGTAGAACAGAATGTGTGCCATCCACAGGAGCATATAGGGGAAGGAGCAAAAGAAGGTCAGAACAATAAAAGGCCATTTTGAAGCACACTCCTTTGTTTTGGTAGAGGAAAGGTTCTCGGGTTTCAGTGTGTTTGAGAGTTAAAATTGTGTTTGTGCTCACTGAAAGTGGAGTGTTTGCTATGGAAAAGAAACTTTATGCTGATTGTCATGTTGCCAACTCACAGCATCCAAAAAGCAAGAGTCGGCACCCAAAATTGTGGTTTTAAAAAAATAGTTTATGTTGGGGTTCCTTTGATCTGCATTCTGTGTTGGAGCGGTGACCCTAACAGCATCCCAATGCTCACTGGTATGGGTAGTGACTTTCAGTTGGCCTGACCAGTTGAATGTACTCAAACTCACTAAGGTCATAACCCGTATCTAAAAGGTGTTGTGTAAAGTATCAATAGAAAGCTAATAGCACACTGATCATTAATATTGGTACATGGTGTATGTGTGGAGGACAAATTCAACATAATTTCCAAGACATTTGTAATTTTATCAGTGTTTCTGCTAGGAATAAGTGGTATTTGTTTCCATTACCAGGCCCATTTATCTGCAAAGGCTGTGTTTGTTAGGTTTGCTATAATGGCTAAAACAGGAAATTAACCAAACTGAAATGGAAAGCACCCCTGTATTTACACTCTACACACTACTGTAATAATCTTTGTACAAAATAGGCTTTGGGAGGTATCATTTGAAAACTAATATCTTGATCATCAATATCAGGGAGAAATGTATGAAGCAACATTATACATAAAATTATGAATTCCCCCTATATGATATAGTTAGCACATGTTCAAACTCACATTGCCCTGAGTAGGCAAAAGTTGTTAAACAGGTCTATCCTAAACAAAGGAGTGTGTGTTTACCTCAATTTACATACAAGTAGTCAACAGGGTCCTTGAGTCAGAAAGGGCGGAAATGACAAGACACAAGGCAAATCTGCATTTCAGCATACACAGGGGAGCAGAAAGAGCCTGGAGCCACCTTCACCACCAAACTCTATATCACCTTCTTCACTGTTTGAATAAATTCTGTTTAGAGGGGCAAGTCCCAGAAAAATCTACTTCAAAGGGTGACTGGACTGTAAAAGTGAGGGCAAAACCACCCCAAGGCATCTCTCCATAGAATCATAGAAGTGTAGGACTGGAAGGGTCCTTGAGAGGTCATCTAGTCCAGTCCCCTGCACTCAGGGCAGGATTCCCCTCAGACCGAGGAAGAATTGGCTGCACAGAGCTGCATATTCTTCCTTCCTATACTTAATGGAATATTAGGATTTATAACTAACTAACTGGGTGTAGCCCAGTGTACAATAGGGAGAAGAAATTATACCGTATACCCAGCCTATTTGTGAACCTAGTACAGGATATTTTTAGACTGTTTACTGGCATTGCCTGAACATTAGCCTGTAAGGAAGAGATCAATAAGATATTTGATAAGTAATACAAAGGCTGTGACGGGAGACAGAAGTAGGGGAGAAACTGGAAAGCAATAATCACCATCTGGTTCAGTTCAAGCGTTCTACTGTCAATTGACTAGATATTGTCATGGGGGACAGAAATTCCATGGAAGAAGCCACATTGGTAGAGAGCAGTAACAAGTGGTACGTTAGTTACCTGTGAAAGGACCATGTGTGTTCACTTTATACCTTCCACAAGGTCATAATGCAGAAGGTGACTTCATATCATTGTAGAAATATACTATTTATGTCCCCCCAAACCATGCCTCAGTACCATGACTTGGGAGCTGGGGATGGGGCCGGGAGGGAGCCCAAAGACAAAGCTGACAGAACTACGTCTACAAGATCTTGAAAGTAAAATTTATACTGTATGTCCATATTAATAAGCTGCTTAAAGGAGTTATGGATAAAGCCAAGAACGGGGCTAGAACTTAACCAGTTCAGAAAAAATGTCCTTACACAAACAGTTTGAATACAGAAACACAGTAAGTGGTATAGCAGGTGGCTTAGTATTCCATGGATATGTTGAACATAGAACAGGTCTTGGCAGGCCCCATAGCCATCTCTGGGTCTGAAAAGTCCTATATTATTATACATCGAAAGATGTCACTCATACATTTCCTGGCTAATCAGGCTAGACCCACATTCCTTGCACATACCGACTCCCATTGACTGAAATGGGAGTTTTGGGTGTGTAACTAATAGCCCTGCAAAACATTGCCTCCTATGTTTCTAGACTAGGAAAACCCAGAAGCTGAGCAGTTCTGTCACTCTAAAGATGCCACACTCAAGTAGCAGAAAGACACTGACATACCTATTTTTTAAAATCATTAAAATGTCCTAAGTTAAAATTGGTTTTTTAAAATGTATGCGTCTCCTACACATCCTGTAGCAGAGATAGGTGCTCAGCCCATTCTGCTAAAATTACTTTTATGACTCTGTAAAAAAAAATATATTCCCAAATTCACAAGGAGTGGGAATATTGAATCTTCCATCTGCAGTGTACCCAGAGAGAATCAATTATGAGGTTTTCTTGCATACAGCACTTTTAAATGCCTTCTCCATGATTCAGAGGCAGCTACCATTTTGTATTCCTCTGTTCTCTCATTGAAACTTTATTTATGTTCTTTTAATATAAAATAAAGGTGATTCTGATTGATTGACAGTATAAGGCTAGGTCTACACTACAGCGGGGGTCCGACCTAAGATACGCAACTTCAGCTACGTGAATACCGTAGCTGAAGTTGCGTATTTTAGGTCGACTTACCTGGCTGTGAGGACGGGGGAAAGTCGACCGCTGCTGCGCTGCCGTCGACTCCGCTGCCGCCTCTTGCCGCGGTGGATTTCCGGAGTCGACAGCAGAGCGATCAGGGATCGATTTTATCGCGTCTTCACTAGACGCGATAAGTCGATCCCAGAAAACCGATTGCCTGCCGCCGGACCCTCCGGTAAGTGTAGACAAGCCCGAAGACTGCTTTTTGTGTATGGAAAAACCAAACACCTGCCCTACTAAAAAGCCCTGCTGCAGTATACAGGATAATATTAATGTAAATTTATCACCATCTAGTGGTTCCAAACAATAAACCAACCTTTTCTTGATAGAGTTTGTGAAGCCACTTAGAACATTCCTGTTCGTCTTCTGGGACTTCCTCTAATGGAATCCGTCTGCAAACAGTAAAGAAGAGATAGCAAAGAAAAAGTACAACACATTCATATTGTTTAATGTGGTGCTTAAAACTGCAATCTAATTAAATTACTACTCATTTACTTTACTAATTATTTTTTCCTTATAGTTCTGCCTTTTGAGGTACAAATCCTGGACATAGTGATGTGTAGTTTCAAGTGTAAGAGCCATATATAGTCTTTAGAAATATCTGGAGCTAGAGATACACTGTAAAAATTGCAGCTCAATGAAGACCTCTTCCAGGTAATATGATGGTTTGCATTTTTGTATTTCTAAATAAAAGTTTCAAATAGGTTAACTTCCTACCTCACAGATTAAGTCATCCCAAAATTTTGTTTTAACAGCTGAGCACTCAGAGGTAAAACTTGTTTCACTTTGCAATTAGGGTCAATCACATTTAGTGCTTTTGGAACAGCTATTCCGAGTGCTTAAAATGTCTTTATAAAACATTTGCTTTTTTACAATTGTAATTTACCAGTAAGAAAAGGAGATACCACAAGGACTTGACAATGTTCACTTCTAGAACAGTACCCAGAGCACCTGCTAACCTAAAGCACCAGTGAAAATTTTTAAATTGTATCTCTCATAAATCACCACCACCAGAAATGCATGTCCTGTGTGTTTGGAAAACTGCAGTTTTTTGGGCTTTGTAATGGTATGAAGCAGCCATTCAAAGTCCCAGCAATTCACAAGATACCAGATATTAGAAAAAAACATCCTGATTAACATAATTCCTGTCCCCCCAAAACTCCAATTCTCCCATCTTGAGAACTGCTACAAATAGAAACTAATACTTTTTTCACTATTGGCAAGCTGGAGTGCAGGCTCTCAGTGGAAAACATTCTTTTTCCTCTAGAAATCCATGAGACAGCAGCTGTTAGAGTGATATGATAATTTAAGTAGAAACAAACAGATAGGTCATCAGAATCTTAAAAATGCAAATTGTTTCATGATCAGCAAGACCTTGAAACACTTTGCTGGGCAAATATGATGCTTCCAGGATCAAACTTACCAGTGTTGGTCCTGAAGCAGTGACTGGAAAGGAAAAGTTTAATGCCCAATCCTGCGCTTACTTCAGGATCTACACAGGAAGTTCAACGGGGCAGAGGAACAGTGGACTGGTGAGGGCCATGTACAGCAAATCTATGTTCCCAGAGCCACCCTGCAGGATGATTCAGGGCTCGCAGAATGGAGAAAAAGGAGAAGGGAGGCATGCAGGGAGGTACATGTCCTACTTTAGAAGGATTGTTGAACACCTATGGTTAGAACAAGCTGCTCATTTGTGAGCAGTATATGAGCCGGCCACCTGACCACATTCTTCAGGCAGCACACAGGGATTTTAAGGTGTGCTAATGGGTATGGTAGCAACCTCTCCCCTCCAGTTCTCTCTCTTAGTTTGTTGCTAATTTTCCACTGGCAGTGTGTGGATACTCAGGGGTGTGTATATACAGTGGCTTCCTATTAGATCTAGTTGAAAAATTCTGAAGGGAAAAAATTGTGCTACAAGTGCCATTAAAAACATGAAATGCATAGGTACCCTGCTATCACCTGATGTTCTGTGCTCATGAAAATAAACCCCAAAATACAAACAAAGGAGCATTAGCCAACTGAATTAACACAACATTTACATTCACAGGGATTCCAGCTACAGATGGAAGCTTCAGATTGCAGCCAGGAACTCCGATTCTGCTGCTTGGAAGCTGCATCTGAATCAGCACATCTCCTTCCTTTTGTGGGCAGTGCTGTAGGTTTCCCAGTACAGCAGGGATTACAACATTATACTTCCACTTCTGGTGGACTTTCTAGCTTCAGTGGCCTGCCACCTAGATTCTGCTGGTGGAACCTAGACTGTGAATAAGGTCCTATATATTATCACACCTCTGCAGAGTGATAGCAGATTATGGGACCTTGCTGGTTGGTAGAGAAATCCAGGACGTGGAGTCCAGGTATTTCTCAGTGTAACTTGTTTTATTTACATTATCTGTACTAGTACCTACACAGAAGTGGTCACACAAAACACAGGCCGACCCCTCTTTCAGGATCTCACCCAAAACAACAATGGCATGTCCACTGGTAGCAATTAACTAGACACAAATCTTGGGGCAGACAGACTAAGGCAATGGGCAAACTCTTCCACGGCTTACAAAAGCTCCCCCAAAATGTAAGTGCATCACAAGATAAACAATCCAGGATTTCATCAAAGACTAAACAATGCTCTCATGATAAGGAAAAAAAAACCTGGTAAAACTATGTGTAACAGTGCACTCTGGAGACTCCTACCATATAGTGACACAATTTGAAAAAAAATACAGCTATAAATGTTCACCTGAGCTCCTTTGAAGAAAGTTTTACACCAATTTGTTATCAATTACCTGCAAGAAAAACCATTCCCCTGCTTGTTAGTAAAGTGCACACCACTATATATGGAAAAACCATGAGTATGGATAACTTGCCTTACATATAAATCTGCATGGTATTTCTTCCCATTTAAAACTCCCAGCAAAGTTGGATTCTCATTATTTCTAAAATTGAGCGTAGAATCATACACAGCTGAAACTACAAGGGAAAAAAAAAAAAGCTGTTTTACTGTTTGTAAAATCAATTTTCAAAGTTAACAGGGTGGTCTTGGTTATAATTAAGGTGCATTTGAAATGACATTTCATGAGCAATTTCAATTTTCCATATTCATTCTCTCTCAGACAGTGGGTATATTTAAACATATCGCCTCCAGCAGCAGCTGACAATAGTTAAAGTTGTAAGCAATGTCAAGATGACATGGATAATTCAAATACACATTAGTACAAGCAGGGCATCTAAGCAGGTTTTTCAAGACCAATACCAACACAATTTACTTTTAAAAGGGTTATCTTTTTTTCCTATGATGAACAGGTGGATGGGTGAGAGAGGGGAAAAAAGAAGAAACCAGAAGTGATTAATACAAGAATGAGAGGACACCCAAGGAAATTGAATGGTAAATTTAAAACTGATAAAAGAAAATATATTTTTGCATAAAGTGAATAGTTGAAGTCACTGCTACAAGATAGTGAGGTCAAAAGCATAACAGGATTTAAAAAATAAATTAGTCATTTAAGTGACTAACATCCACAGCTGATCTAGAAAGCATAAATGTTTATCTGGGATATAAACCCTCTTGCTTGACAATATAAAAGGTTAGGAACAAACTTTCCCCACAGTTTTTGCATCCATTATGGGGGTCTTGCATCCTCTTCTGAAGCATTAGCTACAAGCCACTGTCAGAGACAGAATACCAATTTAGACTCACTACAGGCTGATCTAATCTGGCAATTCCTACATAGGCACATGACTAAGATGAGAATCATTGGGATATGCATTTCACAGAACTAAACTACAGCCAAACTCTCAACAACTAGGGAATAAAACTTTCTGTAATTCATGAGATGGCCTGAATATTTCCCAGCAACAATAAAAAAAAGGCAAAGTATATTCTTAGTTCATTAAAATAGAATGTCATGGTACAGCTTAGAGACAGAGACAGGGAGAGAACGGGTACAGGAATAGTTTACAGAGATGGAGGGTTTTTATTTTGTTTTGAAGAGTAATAGACTTCAGAAGTACAGAAGCTAAATACAGTAGAACCTCAGAGTTACAAACAGACGGGTCAACCACACACCTCATTTGGAACTGGAAGTACACAACTAGGCAACAGCAGAAACCAAAGCAAATAAAAGTACAGTATGGTGTTATACCACTAAAAAAATTGGAAAGTTAAAAAAAATTACAAAAGATAAGGAAACTGTTTCTGTACTTGTTTCATTTAAATTAAGATAGTTAAAAAGCAGCATTTTTCTTCTGCATAGTGAAGTTTCAAAGCTGAATTAAATCACTGTTCAGCTGTAAACTTTTGAAAGAACCACCATAATGTTTCGTTTAGAGTTACAAACATTTCAGAGTTACGAACAACCTCCATTCCCGAGGTGTTTGTAACTCTGAGGTTCTACTGTAGATTGATACAGGAGTTAGCCTTTGAGACACTTTTTCTCTGCTGGGTCATAGAATTGGCAAACAGCAGTTGGTTCTTCTGACCTGATCTGGTCCCATTTGAAAGGGGAGGGGCAAGGTCAAAAAGCACGAGGGAACGGTTAGTGTACATCAACAGGGTTCACAGGGACACAATATGTAGCAGGCTAGTGTGGGGTAGATTTACACCCCCGTTTGCCACAAATTTAATTGCCCTAAATCTGTTAATTCTCTCTCCTGGAAACATGCTAAGAATTTTGACTTTGCACTGCATAGAATTTTTCCTGGAATTGTGGGATCAGACATCCTGTATGAACAGGTATTGAGCTGGAAAGCCTAATGCCTGCTCAGCAAGCCCAAACAACATGGCCCAATTCTCCTCCCACTTATTCCTGTCCTTGGATACATCCAGAGTAATTCCACTTAAGTTAATAGGTGTAAAATCAGTTGAGAGAAAAGAGAACTGGGTTCACAGTGTGTAGGAAGTTTGGTTTGATCTTTTAGAATTTAGCATAGAACTGCAGGGCAGTTCTGCAATAACCAGCCACCATATGCAGACTATGTAGATCCCACTCTAAAATCCAACCCAGCCCTGGTTTTAAATGTCCACGTTCACAAGGTGTTTTCAGCTGATTCTTATTATTGGAAATAAAAAGCAGACAAAAACATGAAACCCGCACAGACGCACATTCCTAGCTGCATGTTTGCACACTAAAGATAGGAAGGATCCACCTTTCCAAGGTTTCATATTTTAAAAGCCTCTTAGGGTAAAAAGTGGTTATCAAGCCCTGTATTACATCTTTAAGGATAAAAATAGCGGTAATGAGACAGTTTAAAGCTACTTGTGCAATAAGGAGTCTGTTAGGTTAATCATTACTTAGCAGCACAGAAACCATAAAAACAGGAGTCACTCAGCATTCATTCTGTTGTCTTACCCTATATACATAACAGTTAGAGCTTGTCTTCAGAGGAAAGAAAATAGATTCCTTTTCAGTCTGACTAACCTAGAGTATGATAATCAGTCATGAGGGGAATACTTTTTAAGAATATAAGCTCATTTGTTGTTTGCACGACACTGCCAAATTAATACTGTACACAGGATTAACACTCTGTTAGCGGGAAGTGAAGTAATTGTTCAAATTAACTCTTTGTTCAAAGCTTTTCCATTTTGTAAGCACAGACAAGGCACAACTATAAATTTATAAAACACAACAATGGAGGTGTCAAAGAGAAAGATTGAACAAGACCAGAAGTTGCCAGAAAGTTTCTATAAATAAAGTGGGATATGGGAAACAGGTTTTATTTTAAAATACATAAATACATCAAACAAACAAACACACACACACACAAACAAACAAACTTTACAATCCATAACTAGAGTTCAGCAGGAAGTGATTTTCCCCTCCCACATGAATTTTGGAGGTTTCAAACAATTTTCCCATGCCAAATCGAGACCAAAAAAAAAAAAAAAAAAAAAAAAAATCAAAGTATTAAATTTTCAAAAACTGAAATTATTGCAACAAAACATTTCAATTGACCCAATCAAAAACCTTTTTTCATATGGTTAAAATTGCTTTTGATTTTGTCCTTTTATTATTTCATCATTTCTTTTACTATAAATTTACCTACATTTCAAAACAAAAGCATTTTCAAACTGAAAAACAGAATTTTGTTTTGAAAATGTTGAAACAGGACATTGAATTTCCCATTTTAAATTTTGGAAAAAAAAAATTAGAAATTGACATTAAGAAGGAGTTGGGCCAGTGCATCTGTGACTGGACAGCTGATCTCAACTGGGTTTAAAAAGAGGACACCTAGGCCTAACGGGGGGAAAGAGAAGAGACATGGACCCAGTGAGTCTGAACCACTGAGCTGCAAGAAGCAGAAAGTTCTCTGGGAGGGGCTGGCAGAATCCCCTGGGAGAGGAAACAGTGGGAACCCTCTGGGGGGAAAAGGGCCTCCAAGAGCAAATTCTTGGGGATGGTCCTCAGTGAGCTGAGGACGGAAGACCACTGCAGGATGCCCTGAAGCAGGACAGACAGAAATCCCCAGATGGGCCAAGGAACTGTGTGGATATTTTGCTTATTGGAGAACTAAAACTGCCTGGAAAGACACTGTGTGACAGTGGGTCCTTTGTGAGCTGGGGAAAAGGCCAGCCAATTACACCAACCATTTCCCACAAAAAGGTTCAGTTTCAATGAACTTATTTTCTGAAACATTTCATCAAAAAATTCCCAACCAGCTTGAACCATACACTTAACAGAAGTTTCTTCTGTCCAAAACGCTGTTTGCTTTACAACGCTTAATGTGAGTGAATCAGGCCAAGGACTGTTTTAAAATTGGAGACAGGCCTTTTCCAAAATCCCAGATCCCTGAGTTTGGGGAAGTCTAAATCTTGATCAGCACTGTATGGCTCAGGCCCTTGTCTGCTTTCCTTGAGGAGACAGTGTTCTCACTGTGTTCCTTAGCCCTTCATTGCACGTGTTGGTCAATTCCTACTAGGATATGTACTCCCTCTCGCCTTCATGTAACTGAAGGGGACTATGCTGTGCTGCCCAATTTGCAAAAGACAAAGTTATCACTCTCATAAAAGCTATACAACAGTCATGTTATCTGCCTCTCTTGTGAAAAGCTCTACAAAATCTGAGAGATACATAGCACATTACTCATTGCAGAATATTTCGTTACGGGTAACTGTTCAAGACATGCTTGGTAAAACTCTGATCATGTTGAAGTCAGTGGGAATTTTGAGATTGACTTCAATGGGGTCAGGACCTTTTGAACTGAATTAGGTGGTCTTACCTATAAGTTAGTGCTCTAACTGCATACATATCCACCACTCCAAAAGGATTGCTAGGTCTAGGCTAGCTATCAATACACAAATAAGTAGCTCTATCCATTTTTGGTTTTCACAGCAGTTTTATTTGCTACAGGCTGCAATGCACCTAAATCCCCAGAAAATAACTTCCAAAGTTGTATAATTATTGTACCAAGACCAACTATAGAAAAGACAGCAAAGAGACAACTGTGATGAATTGGGCATTCTGTCTGCACTACTTCTGAATTGTAGATGGTTTTATTAAGTTGTCTCATAAAAATACCGTGTCATGGAAAGCCTATATGTATATGGATGCAGTCAGGGCTTGTCTACACTTAAAACACTGTTGCAGCTGGGCTACTGTAGCACTTCAGTGTAGACATTACCTATACTGACAGGAAGGGTTCTCCCATCATCATAGGTAATCCACCTCCCTGAGAATTTTTCCATTGACCTCGTGCTGTCTATGTCGTGACCATAAGTGGCGACTCTGTGGGTGCTTTGGTGCTGGAGCACCCACAGGGAAAAAAAAAAATGGTGGGTGCAGAGCACCCACCGGCAGCCCCCTATGAGCTCCTCCCCAGTGCTTCCTGCCCACCAGTGGGCCCCTTTGATCAGCACCTCTCCCTCCTTAACTCCCCCTCCCACCCACCGCGATCAGCTGTTTTGCGCCATGCAGGAGGCTCGGGGGGGGGGGGAAGCGAAGGCACAGCATGCTCAGAGGAGGGGGCAGAACGGG